GTTAAAAATTAGTGCAAACTTTATGTGTAATTGTCATGTTAGTGGGTAGTTAATTTCATAGGATGTGGATGTAAACTTGAGGAGAAATTTTTGGGTATAGTGGCATAGCGGCATGGTGGTGTTGATGAGAGAGATTCAAGATTAGTGGCATAATGATGTTAGTGGGAGAGAAGTTTAAGGTTTGTGGTATAGTGGTTAGTTTTACATTAGGGAGAGAAGTTTAAGAGTTTTACATTGTCCCTATAAATACTTGTAGCAATTTCTCATTCTATGAGTCAAATCCTTCCTTCGTAAACATTTATCTTGCTTCATTTCTATTGTTCATCTCCGTGTTTCGTTACACTATTTTGTATATGGGGTTTCAAAGCTAGAGTTATGGAAGGTTCAATTATTTGCAATCTTATGTTGCTCTKTCGAGTTGTGAAGCAGAATATGTAGCGGCTTCTATGGCTATTCAAGAGTGTATTTTGCTGAAAAGACTAATGGGAGAAATATTCTCTATTTTGGACTACCCAATGTCCATTTTTGTGACAATGAAACTGCAATCAAGCTTGTAGGGAATCCAGTGTTTCATGCTCATACAAAGCATATTGAAACACATTTTCACTTTGTTTTGACACAAGACATTCAACTGCAGAAAATACATTCCAAGAAGCAAGTTGCAGACATATTTACTAAGGCGCTTGGCAGACCCAAGTTTGTAGAACTCGGAAGTTCACTTGGTGTTGTTGACCGTACATTTGCACTAAGGGAAGTGTTAAAAATTAGTGCAAACTTTATGTGTAATTATCATGTTAGTGGGCAGTAAATTTCATAGGATGTGGGTGTAAACTTGGAGAGAAATTTTTGGGTATAGTGGCATAGTGGCATGGTGGTGTTGATTGGAGAGAAATTCAAGGTTAGTGGCATAATGGTGTTAGTGAGAGAGAAGTTCAATGTTCGTGGTACAGTGGTTAGTTTTACATTGTTCCTATAAATACTTGTAGCAATTTTTCATTTTATGAATCAAATCCTTCCTTCGTAGACATTTATATATCTTGCTTCATTTCTATTGTTCATTTACACTATTTTGTATATGGGGTTTCAAAGTTAGAGCCATGGAAGGTTCAATTATTTGCAATCACCTATGTTGTTTTGAATTAGCTTCAGCTTAGATAATTTAATTTTGATAAATCAATCATCGCATTTAGCCTCAATATAGTAGACAAAATTACATCAGTCAGATTCTATAGATAAACCCCATGTCGGTACCTGTGATTTCTCAAAGATCGTATTTGGAGGCATGTCCAAGATTGGAAGGGCAGGCTTTTGTCTATCGGAGGAAGAGAAACTGTTGCTAAATTAGTGATTTAGACTATTCCATGTTATACAATTAATTGTTTCAAAGCTACATCACAGTCCAATCCTGATAGAGGGGTGTGGAGGAAGATAGAAAGATTCACCCGATGAATTGAAAATATAGCTATGTTGGTCAGGGATACAATTTCAAAACCAACAATCCAAGGGATCCATCGGAATATAGATGCATTCCTCTTGCAAATGTGTGGTTTAAACAGGAGCGTTTTCAAACTTTAAAACTTGCTGTTTGTATGAAAAATATGGAATTCAACTATATTTTTCATCAAATTCTCTATTTTCAAATGTTTATTTTTGAATCACCAACCATATGCAACCTAAATTATCAAGTTTATTTTATTTTGGTACATAAATTTTGGAAATGTTTGTACAAGCCAAACTACAAGAACACTTATAAGGAACATATACAAGATCAGTTAAATGATTTGTGATAAAATAATGGTAAGAGCTATAAATTTTTTATACAATTTAAGAAGGAAATTTTAAAAAAAATTAGAAACTAAAATAAAATTTGGAACTTTAAGAATTAAAATAAACATCCTAAAATTAATAGATCAAAATGGAATAAATTTGAATATTAAAATAAATATTATGAAAGTTTCATGAATTAAATTGAGATTTGTGGCATATTTGAGGGCTAGCTAAAATCATTTTTACTACCACCATTTTAAAATGAGATGTTTGGCAATAATTTCCAAAATCATTTAACTATTCCCAATCAATCACTGGAAGCTTATTCATAAGTGATTTTGGTTATATCTATATATATAGGAAATTAATTTTTAAAAAGGTTATTATTTTAATTTTTTTTTAGTTCACCTTATTTTTACCTTAAAATTTGAGAATTTTTTTTTATTTCTAAATTTTTTTTTGTCACTTTATAACTTTATTTATCTTTAATTTTGTTTATTCTATTTTTCTCTAAAATTTTTATAACTCATCTCTCTCTAAAATTTATCTAAGATTTTTTTTCTTTCTCTAACTTTTCTCTATCTAAGATTTTTGTCAAAATCTCAAACATCAAATATCAATCATTTAAAATCACTTTTAATTATATAAGAATCATTGAAAAAGTGTATAACAAAACACTAAAATAAATATATAAAAA